AAAAGAAAAAAAGAAAACTACAGCAAAGATTTGTTGACAAAATCTAACTCTGCTGAGTTAGGTTTCAGCCGCCGCCTTGCAGACCCCGGAAGTCAGAAGTCTTACCCGGGGTCTCCTGGGCTGGAATCCAGAGGGGGCCAGGGAAGGTTGAATCTTGCCTTTACCAGCTTCTAGAAGCACCCACTCCTCTCGGCTCTCAACCCTGCATCGCTCTACCGTATGCTTCCTTTTCTCACATCTTTTTTTTTTTTTTTTGTATTTAGTATAGCGTCTACAGGGTCTACAGGGTCTCACCTCGTAGCGATCCTCCTGTTTTCACAAATAGCTCAGCAGCTTAAAGCGCCTGCAAGCAGGTTCAGGGGCCAGCCCTGCCGCCTGGGTGCGCTGAGACAGCCATTGAGACTGGGTTTGATGGTGCACGCCTGTAATCCCAGCTCTTGGGAGGCTGTAAACAGGCGGATCACTAGGATTCCGATCTAGTAGTGAGACTCCGAACACCCTGTAGACCCTTCCCTAAGATATTATTAAAAAACAAAAACAAAACAAAAAAAACTTGGCAAACCTCCTGTTTTCAGCCTCAATAGTCAGTGCACCACCTGGGGATCGTATCCTTTTTTAAAAAATCACATCTTAGATACATCTAGCAGGAGCTGAGGATAGAGCCCAAGGGTTCACACATGCTAGCCAAGCACTTAACCACAGAACCACAGCCTGCTTCGTGGGCCATTTTCAGAAAGGGTTTTTCTACTTCGCCACAGCTGGCCTCAAATGTGCGATCCTCCTGCCTCATCCTCCCCACTGCCTCATCCTCCCCACTGCCTCATCCTCCCCACTGCCTCATCCTCCCCAGTGAATTCCCTTTTTTGTTTTTGTGGAACTGGGGATTAAACTCAGGTCCTTCCACTTGCCAGGAAAGTGCTTATTCCACTGAACTATCTCCCCAGCCTCCGGGGCTTTCAGTTTTTCTGCCTTGTAAAAGGAGCTGGCCTAGGCATCTTTATGGCTACATGTACATACAACACTAGGTTGCCCATTGATCAGTTTCCTTTACAACAATTACTGATTTGAATATGTCATGCCACTCCAGCTCCCATTTATTTATTCTTTTAGATTTTGAGGCAGGGTCTTCCTAAGTTGCCCAGGCTGGGCCTGAACTTTCGATCCTCCTGCCTCGGCCTTCCCTACGGCTGAGCAGACTCTAAACCTCTCCTTCCCCACCTTGGCAACCAGAGACTGGGTCCCTGGCACTTCTGCCTGTGCCCAAATAATCACGCTCCTCCGTGCCTCCCGCCGGCCTGTGAGCTAGGGCAGAGTTTTGGCTGAGATTTGCCAGCTGTGTCTCTCTCGTACCCTGTGGCATGGCTCACCATGGGTTGAAAATATGAGCAAATAAACAAGTGGTCGGGGTCGAGATCCCCTGCGATGGTGAGATGGGGGAAGGAATAAAAACTGGGCACCCCGAAGCCTGGGGGAAACTGTTAATTCCCCAGGGAAGGACAACGTTATGGCCTGAGAGCTCTCCTTTCTGCCAACAAACTAACTCAAAGCCCAAAACATGCTTTCCAAACAGTTTATGGAGGATGCCTGAGGAGCACACCTTGGGAGGCTGAGGCAGGAGGTTCACTGCGAGTTCCAGGCCAGAAAGCGCTATGGAGTGAGTTGAAGGTCAGCCTGAACTACATAACAAAACCCTGTTACAAAATGAAACGAAAGAAAGCAAAGCAGTTTATGGGGGCTGGCTGGGGTCCTGCTCAGTGGCTAGGCTGTGCTTGGGACGCCTGACGTCCCAGGTTGCGCTGCTCCCAGCAACACATTGGTGCGCGCGCGCACGCACGCACACACAGAGTCGCAGCCAGTGTGCCTTGGGCCTCCAGGCCAGGGGCTCCATCTCTGTGACCCCACTCTGCCCTTCATGAGGCTGGGAGGTGTCCCAGGCCGGCTACGTCCCGCGAGAGGTACGCTGTCCGAAAGGGACCACACTGTGCCCCCACTAGGGGGCAGCATCGGCCCAGCCGGCTTCGCCTAGAGTCCCCTCCTCTACCCCTCGCGACCACCCCGCACCCGAGCCTCCTTCCCAGCCCCAGACTTCAGCGCCTCACAGTCCCACCTTGCCTCTCCCCAGCGCGCAATTCTGGATTCACAGGCGCGCCCCTGTCCCCAAGCAGGCCTTCCCAGCAGCAATGGGATCTGACCATTTGTTCCAGCCAACTTCAGCAAACGTTTAGGGTGGAAGAAAGAAACCAAAAACCCCGGATGCAGCGGCACAGCTTCCAATCTCAGCTCCTTGCGAAGCTGAGGCAGGAGACCCGCAAAGCGAAGCCCAGCCTGGGGAACTTTGAGGCCTCTGTCTCAAATCAGTGAAGAGGGGTGGGGTTAGCTCCATGGCAGAGCCCTTGTATCACATGCCCAAGGCTCTGGGCTGAGCATCTGGACATGCACTTCTCTAGTCTGGGAAACATTTTTTGGGAAACGCTAGCAGCCTCAGACCACCCCCCACTCACCCACTGGAGACTGAACCTGGGGCCTTTGCTGTGAGCTCCATCCCCAGCCCTTTTCATATTTCTGAAACAGGGGCTCGCTAAATCGCCCAGATTGGGCTCCAACTTGTGATCCTCCTGCCTCAGTCTCCCAGAGGGTGGCATTACAGGCATGTGACCCCACGCCTAGACATGTGGAAGACAATTTTTCCATAGATCAGGTGTTGGGGGTGCTGGGGTTGAGTCAAAGGTGCATCCCCCACACGCGGGGGTAGGGGGGTCGAGCTTGGGCCCACACATGAGCAATTCACGAAGGGTCTGGGCCTGTAAGAGGCTCTGGCCAAGCTGATGGGGGATACTCTCTGTTTTAACAGATGGCGTAATCAAGGACTAGAAAAGTTGATTTAAATTGGTCAAGGAGACACAGAAAGGTTAAGTAAATCACAGGAGGTCACACAGCAAATGAGTAGCAGCATCGGAACTCAAAACCACATGCTCTGGCTCTGAAGTCGGAGGCCGGGGACCAGACTGCCCTCCCCCTGGCGAAATTCAAGATAATCACATGAGCAACAGTAAAAGCTAAAGCGGTATTGCTGAATCAGAAGGAGACATGGGCAGATCCGGCAGAGACCTTCACCGGATCAGGGGTATATTAAGAAGCAAAGCCCACAGCTTTGAAGACTCAAGACTTTGCAAGTTAAAAGAAGAAGCAATGGTGGGGCATGGTGGTGCACGCCTGTCTTCGAAGCACTAGGAGGCTGAGGCAAGAAAGTCTCTAGTTTAAGCCTGGCCTGCGCATCTTAGTGACTTAATGAGACCCTGTCTCAAAATGTAGAAATGAAAAGGCTTGGCAATGGAGCTGAGTGTGAGGGCCCTGGGTCCACTTCCTAGCACTGGGTGGAAAACAAAACATGTACACATGCATGTACACACAACAAAGAAAAAACAGCAGGCGGATCTGGCTGTTCTTGGTAAAACAGTCACAGTTGGAATTGCACAAAACAGGCGCTTGCGGAGCCAGGCATTGACTTCGGTGTTAGAACCCATGAACCCAGAGTGGCGGTGCACACTTGTCATCCCTGCACTCAGGAGGCTGAGGCAGGAGGACTGCTGTGAGTTTGAGGCCAGCATGGACTATAGTGCAAGACACTGTCTCAAAAAGAAAGAGGGCCAGCTAGATAGCTCAGCAGATTAAAGCGTCTGCAAACAGGCACAAGGGCCAGGGGTTTGATACCTGGGCCTGCCAAAATGGCGACTGAGACTGGGCGTGGTGGCATGTACCTGTAATCCCAGCACTTGGGAGGCTGTAAACAGGAGAGTCCAATCTAGTAGTGAGCCCCTGAACACCCTGTAGACCCTTCCCTAAAAATGTAGGAACAAAAAAGCAAGAAAGCAAGAAAAAGAAATTTTAAAAGTGGTAAGAGGGTTGGGAATATAGCTCAGCAGCACAAACGCCTGCCTGGCAAGACACAAGGTCCTGAGTTCAATTCCTGGTACAAAAAATAAAGGTGGGAAGAACTGCAAATAAATGTCCTTTCTTACATGGCTGGCTGTCCATGACATGGCATCCAGTGTTCAGTGGAAATTCAGTAATGATGATGGGGGCTAACCGATAGCTAGTCAATAATAGCTGATGGGCAAACTGTAACATGGGCTTTCCGGCGGTGACGAACCCCCTACGAGAACATGCCTCTCGCAAAAGATCTCCTTCATCCCTCTCCGGAGGAGGAGAAGAGGAAGCACAAGAAGAAGCGCCTGGTGCAGAGCCCCAATTCCTACTTCATGGACGTGAAGTGCCCAGGATGCTATAAAATCACCACGGTCTTTAGCCATGC